GGGAGTCCCCGGGAGGCCCGGGGGGCCGGGGGGTCCTGGGGGGCCGGGCGGGCCCTGCGTGGGGGACAGAAAGCCGTGGTCAGTCACGTTCGCAGTCAGGTCGACGACACTGCCCAGGGTGGCAGAGTAGGCAGCATTTCTAAATATCACAGTGGTCACTTCCCAGGCCGCGTCCAGGCTGTGGCCGAGGGAGGGGGTGGCACGGAGGCAGGACGCAGGCCAGCAGGGCCGGTGCACACGCGGCCAGTGGTGTCCGCCTCTGAAACTCGGCAGCGCGCACAGTTCGAGAGCATATTCTAGCATAGCGAGTGTGACCCTGACTCCATCACTACTTCAGGACCCTGCACGATGTCGCCTCCTGTTCCTGCCTTTCCCTGAGACAGGCACATTTCAAGACGGAAGGAAACCTCGACAAAGAACCAGCAGCGAAGGAAAAACCGGGAGGTGACTGCGTGGAATCCTGGGCTCAGGACCACTGCCCAGAGGCCCAGACAGGCTCCCAGGGACCAGGAGGGGCAGGGACCAGGCGGGACAGGAAGCAGGAGGGGCCTCCGGCAGAGAATGCGCAAGTGTGGCAGGCAGGGTATCGGAAGCCAGCCCCGAGCCTCCGGTAGACGTGGCCACCCTGCTAACGGCACTAAAATAACACCCTCGGCTCCAAGGTCGGCAGTCACGGCGAGTTATAGCGGGGTGCTGAGTGAGGGGGCCCCAGAGCCCAGCATCCATGTGGCCTGGGGGCCCCTCCACTAGAGCCGCGCTGGGGCCTGCTCCCGGTGGGCTGGGGCTGTGCTGTGCGCGCGCGCGCGTGTGCGCGTGGGGTGTGACGCTGTCACGAGGACCAGCTGAGCGCTATCACACCCCAGGGTCCGTCACTCAGGCGCAGCCTCCCCGAGATGAGCCTGTGGTACCCAGGCCACTCCCGTCGACCATGTGGGTCCCGAGCACCCCGGCCCTGCCCCGTCCGTGCCCCCACAGGACACGCACCTGCACCCCGAATCCGACGCTGGCGTCTCCCGGCTCCCCTTTCTCCCCCTTGAATCCGTTCATCCCGGGGCGACCCTGGGGAGGGGCGTGTTGGGTGCTGACGTCGGTCCCCACCAGGGCGACTGCCCCCCCCCCCACATCCCCGGCCTTGCCCCACCGAGCCCTCAGGCCTTCGGGGGCTGGGGCCAGCACCTCTGGTCCCCACCCAAGGGTGTCAACACCTTTAGGCAGAGCGGGGACCTCGTCCCAGAGAGCTCTGCACAGGCAGGGCGCCCTGGGGCACAGGGCATAGGACTCGTCCACTCACTGGGGGGCCTGGGCCGCGGGATGCCCCCCCTGGTCCTTACCGGCCGTCCAGGGAAGCCGATCTCTCCCTTGTGTCCAGGCCGTCCGTACGGGCCCTGGGGAGAGGGGAGCGTGCTGGAGCGGGGCAGAGACGGCCGCGGTGGCCCCCGCCAACACCGGTCCCAGCTTTAAAGGTGCAGCGGGGACGTGCGCCCGGCCGCTCAGCACTCAGGCGTGACGGGAGCGTCCCATCAGGGCATGGCACCTGTGTGTACTCACCGGGGGTCCTCGGGGGCCGGGCTCGCCCTGAACACAAACCAGAAGCACCATTAGGTGGCCGCAGGTCACCCCCGTCAGCCCCTAAGGGTCCCATGCCCCTCTGGACGCTGTCCGGGCAGCACCTGAAGCACGGGCCCCTGGGAGGGAAGGAGCAGCAGCAGAGGGCGTGCCCAGCCGGGGTCACGGCGGCCCTGACCTCGGGTAGGACGCCAGGTGGGGCTGCCATGTTCTCTCTGGGTCTGGAGTCCCCCCTCAACCACCCTGGGGGCTTTGGGGCCCCTGCAGGCCAATGCCCACGAACACCCAGTGGTCTGGGTCCCGCTGCTCTCCCGGACCCACCCATGGGCCTGTCTGGGGGTTGCCTGCCAGGGGAGGGGCTGCCAGGGCATGGACTCCCCAGGGAGCCCATTGGGCTTCCGCCCGAGCAAGGGCCGGGACCCCGCCTCCCACAGCAGTCCCCGGAGAAGCCGAATCACAGCCCCCTGCAGGGAGCTCTGGGCCGCCCACCGTGGCTGTGACAGGGACAGGCAGACGAGGTTCCGGGACCCCAGCCCTCGGACGCGGGACAACGAGCAGGGCCAGGCGGCCGCCTCACCTTGGCTCCTTTGTGGGCAGGGGCCAGCCCGCGGCCGTCGGGGCCATAGACCATGCCCGGCTCTCCCTTCTCGCCCTGGGGCAGTGGGCAGCGTCAGGGGGCGGCTCCGGGGGTGCCCCGCACCCACCCTGCCAAGCCCCTCGGGCACCCACACCAACACCCCAGACAGGCGGCCCCAAGCCCCTCACCTTCACCCCCGGGGGGCCCTGCTGGCCTCTGGACCCCAGGTTTCCCTTTGGCCCGGCTGGTCCCTGTGGAGCAACGGGCAGCAATGAGAGGCTGCACAGGTGACCGGGCCCCGGTGACGGCTGCTGCTCGGTGCTGCCCGGTCCTGCGCCCTGCCCGCCACTCCCTCAGCCTCGTGCCCGCCCAGCGCCGGGCTCCGCCGCAACCCAGAGCCCCCGCTCCCCGCCAGGGCAGGGTGGGGCCCCGCTACCGCTACTCACGGGGAAGCCTGCGAACCCCGGCTGGCCCTGCGGGAGGGAGAGCAGCGTCAGTGGGCACGGCCACCTGCACTCGGCGGCCGCGTCCCAGCCGGCGGCACGTACCTTGGCCCCGTGGGCACCGGCCACCATCTTCTCCCAGCGGAAGGGCGCGCGGAGCCGCGGACAGAAAGAAAGGCCACGTCACAACCGCGGTTCCCCCCTCGTCACGGCCCCATCGCGAGACCCACAGGCCAGCGCCGGAAACCAGACGTGGGACGAGACCGCGCGCCGCGCCCTTCGGTCTTTTGGCTCAAGCGCCCTCGAGCGAGAAGAGAAGCTGCTCCTGGAGGCCGCCTCCTGCCCCGAGACCGCCCGTGACCCTGGGATGAGGGGACCAGAGCCCCGCCTCCCATGCCGTAAGCGGGGGGCCAGGAGACACGTCCACGTCCGGAGAGGTGACCCTCGGACAAACGGGACGTGCTGCCCATAGGGCAGCTCTGGAGAGCCCTGCTTCGACAGCCAAGAAACCCCGCAGACCCGGGACCTAAAATCCCAGGGTCTCTGAGATCCCCCTACAGGCTGGGAGGGTGGGTGGCCCTGATCGACGTCGTCCTGGCCCCCTCTGGTGGCCGGGGATCTAGGCAGAGAACACCCCCATGCCGTAGCCTTACGTCCTGCTCCGACAGGTAGATGATGGGTCCCGGGATTCCGGGGGGTCCAGGGGGTCCTGGCTGCCCCACTCCGTCCTTGCCTGGGTCACCCTGCAAGAGAAGGCCACATCCAGCACGCAGACCGCTTGCAGGGGCAGAGCTGTCCATGGGGTGCAAGGTGCACCCTGCGCCCCACCCTGGCCTGAGAGCCCCTAGACTCGAGGGTCTTCGCCCCACATCTCCAAGGCGCATGGGTGGCCCCCGGGTCCCACCCGTGTACCCCGAGGCCCACTCACTTTCTCCCCTCGGGTCCCCTTTTCTCCGAGGCCCCATGGGTGGCCCCCGGGTCCCGCCCGTGTACCCCGAGGCCCACTCACTTTCTCCCCTCGGGTCCCTTTTTCTCCTTTCGGTCCCTGCAGAGACAGGAAGGAAAAGCTTCGTCACAGACAGGACACGAGCCCCTCCCGAGACGTGGGCAGAACGCGGCCGAGCCTGGCCACCACGGGAAACCCACAGGCAGCCTGGACCCTGACTCTCCCCACGAGGCACAGAGAGCCAGGTCAGGGGACCCCCAAAGACACTGGGGGCCCAGGGAGGGGGCGGCGGTGCCACCCCCCATCTGCAGGGTGCCACCCCCCAGCAGCCCTGGGCGGCCACCCACCTGGGCTCCAGCTGCGCCCTCTCTGCCCGGGAGGCCGGGGAACCCCGGAGGTCCATCTGCTCCAGCTCCTCCCTGCCAAGGACACAGGGACAGGCCCATGTGTCAGGCACCGTCTGACAAGCCAGTGTCAGGGAGGTGACGGACTGCGGCTGCTGTGGGTCACCAGGTTCCACGCAGCCAGCCTCCTTGAAGCACGTGAGGCCGAGGACAGAATGGGGCCGGGGTGGCAGCGGGCTTGTGTGGCTCCCACGACTCACGCTGTGGAGACTGGGGGAGCAGGTCCTAGGACTCGGGGAAACCTAGGGGTGCCCTGGGGGCAGGTTATGTCCTAAATTCTAAGGAATAGTCAGGCACAAGGACAAAGTAGGGGACAGCAGAATGACGCTGGGCCTGGCGTCCAGGGTGGCCCCAGGCAGGCTCACCCAGGGGGCCGACGGGGCCGAGGGGACACAGCCGAGCAGAGGCTCTGGCCTCAGCCTGGGAGCCCCCCCGACCCAGGCCACTTCCTGAGCTTGAGACAAGGGTCTTACCTTGGCCCCGGGTGGCCCCATTATTCCAGGGTCCCCCTGAAGTGAGTAAAAAGCCCGGTGAGTACAGCACTGGGCCGGCCCACCGCACCCCACCCCATCGCACCGCACCCCACTGCACAGCACCCCCATGGGCGCCCCTGTCCTCCGAGGAAGGCAGGGGGGTTATTCGAGAGGCCTCACACCACCCTCGCCCCCGGCTCAGGGCTGAGGGACCCTGCGTGGCTGGGGGTGGCCACACGTCGGGGTGCACGGCCGGGCCTGCTCTGGAGCCCATGCCAGCAGTTCACTCGGTGAGGTGCCTTCACTTTTGACAATTTAAGAGAATTAATTATAAGTGAGATGTCCCCATTTTGCAAATCAAAGCAGAACATTCTAAGAGCTACGGCCATGTCAGCAGGGGCTGACCTGCGTGGGGTGCCGGGGTCAGGGGCAGAGCGTGAGGGGCTCGCCACCCCTGGGGAGGGGTCCATGTCCTCCAGGGGCAGGTGGGGGCGAGAGCATGTGGGGAGGAAAGATGAGGCGCCCCGAGAGGAGCTCCTGGGGTCTCGGGGCACCACGTGCCGTCCCAGAGGCTGTGGGGTTCCTTCCCGAAGCTCCCCTTCCTTCCCGGGCAGCAAACACAGCTGTGTGAAGCTGGGGCGCCACAGTGTGCAGTTTCAGGAAGACGGCCGGACGCCCCCAAGAGCAAGGTCTGGGACAGGGCGGGTGACGGGGGCCCCCAGCCTCTGAGTGTCCTACACACTCCCCCATGACTCCTGACGGGGAGGGCGGCAGGGGTGGGGCGCCGCTAACTCGTCTGGCACTGACCTTGGCTCCAGGCTGGCCGGGCGGTCCCTGCAGGCAAAGAGGCCTCGGTGAGGTGGCCCTGCTGCCACCCCCGCCCACAAAGAGCAGCACCTTCCCAGCACGGTGGAGTGAGCAGCCAGCACCCCGCCCTGAAGTCCCACGCAGGGTGGCCTGTCCTCACCACCCAGGGCCAGCTGCGGCAATTCCCGCCAGGGGCAGAACGAGGCGGGGACTTCGCAGGGAGCCCCCACTTAATTAAAATTCCACTCAGATCAAAATTCTGTGACTCCCCCAGATCAGAACCACAGGACTCAGCGACCAACTGCAGAAAGACCCATCTTCTGGGGCTCACTCTGCCCCGTTCCCCTCCCGGGGGCCCAGAGGGGAGCCCCCGCCCCAGGCGGCCGCACCCCCAGGGCTGACCAGGCCCCTGCAGACAGTACCTGCAGCCCGTCGGCACCTCGGGCGGTCGGCCAGAAGGGCCCCCCGGAGCCTTCCATGTCATCCTGGGGGAGAACAGAGAAGGGGCTCAGGTCTGCGCCTTTTCTCACAGGGAGAGGCCCCCGCAGCTGGCCACTGGCCCCAGGCAGAGATCCAGCCACGGCCGAGGGGGGAGACTGGCCGCGGCCGTCCTTGTCCCTGTCCTCGGGTTAAGAAGCAGGTGCCTGGGACAGGGGCCATCTGGGCCCCAGCTCAGCCCCCGGGGCTGAGGTCACCCTTGGTCCGCGGGCGTGCGGGGAGCCGGGCTGCGTGACGGTTTCCTTTCTGCTCAAGCGGCCCTACGGCATCACTCAGCGGTCGTGGTCTCGAGGCGAGGACAGTCCGTAGAACTGGGCACCGGCTCCCTCCCACCGCCCACGGCTCCGCCGCAGGGCAGGGGACGCCACGTTCAATGCCACCAGCCCGTCCCTCCGAGCCCGCACAGCCTGGGTCACAGGTGGGGACCCAGGGCAGGTCAGGGGGCAGCGTTACTCACAAACCCTGCAGCCAGCCCTGGGCCCGGGGGCCCGGGGGGCCCGGGGGGGCCCGGGGGTCCTGCTGGTCCAGGGGCTCCTGTCAGGCCATTCACCCCAGGCGCGCCAATGGGGCCGGGGTCCCCCTTGCTTCCCTGCACAGGCGGGAGAAAGAACACCATCACCCTCAGCCACTGGGGTGTCCGTCACTTACAAAGCTCCTTATCGTTCTGCGAAGCTGACAAGCACCCCGTGTGCACGTTTACACACTCGTGTGTCCACCCTGGGCCTCGTCTCGTCCTTAAAGTTCCTGATCTCTAACCCGCTGTGCAATGCCACTGTCCCCACCCCACATCGGGCAGGTTCCCGGGTGACACCCCCTTGGACGTGCTCGAAGTTCCCAGACAGGCCCACCCAGTCCTCCCGTGGGGCTGGATCCTCGTGGGGACCTCAGAGCCACCCATGGGGGGTCACGGACGTAGCAGTGAGGCCTCAGGCACGGTGGCCTCCCGCGTCAGAGCACCGGGGACATGTCCTGGATCTCACAGGGCCAATGTGACACCGGCCCACCTGGCGCTCTCGCGGGCATGGTGCCCCCAGCGGCCAGTCCCAACCTGGAAGAATGTCTGTACCTTGGGTCCCGGGGCTCCCTCTGCACCCTGCGGGAAAGAGAGACTGGTTACTATAAAGTCAGAGCCGCGAGAGGCACACAGCCTATCACCCCTTCGGTCCCGCCCACGAGGCCACCGTCCCATCTCTGACGCAAATGCTTCCGATTGTCCTTTCTTCCGGCCTGAACCACCCCTACAGGACACGCGGCTGAAGCTCCAAGTGCCCCTCTTGGCCCTGGCACAGGGGACCCCCAGGAGGAGGGTCCTCCCAGCTCCACGTTGCCGAAGGGGCCAAGCGGGAGTGTCCCCAAGCATCTGTGGTCGGCCGTGCGCCCGACCAGAGCATTCACCAACAGCCCCGTGGAAGCCACGGCCCCCGCTGGACGTCTGCACAGCCAGGAAAGCTCCTGTCACCAACGCCCCCGAGACTGATGCCGGGAAAGAGACTCCCACGTCCGTGTCACCCCAGCCGCGGTGGGGCCGGTGGCGTGGCCTTCGGGAGCTGCCACACCGAGGCGATGCTGCGGCAGCGTGTGGCCGTAAAGCCACCCCCAGCCTCGGCGTCTCATGGCTTTTCTCGTCCACAAGGTCACCACGCCTCACCCCACACATCAGTTCAATCACCCTCGGCCACACGGTGTGGCTCGAAGTCATAGGCATCTGGCCCCCGGGGAAGTGACTCACGAGGCTGCCTTTCTGGCCAGTCTCGCCCGGTCGCCCGTCTCGTCCTGGAGAGCCCGGGGGTCCCTGGGGACAGAAAGCAAATGGAATCGGCCGCTGGGTGGGCGTCCACAGGCGTCCCGAGGGTACAGGACGCGCCCAGGCCCGTGCCGCTGTGCTCAGGCGTAAACATCTTCCTTCCTTCTTCCTTCTGAGTGGCTGATCAGGTTGAGGGGACGCAAGGACCAGCAGACCCATGGTGGGGGCTGCCGCACCGCGATGCTGGGGCGGGCGCTCCCCGAGTGGACGCGAGCGTCAACAGACTGGCCCCACGTTACCAAGTGAAACATGAGCCAGCGTGCCTGGTTCCTGTGACCCTGTCACATCAGCGACACCCATGGGCACCTGCCAGGCCACCGTGGCCCCAGTGCCGGGCGGGGGTCGGCCAGGTTCTGAGGTCCTGCGAACGGCCCCCCTTCCTTGGGCAGTGGGGCCACCCTGACCCCCCGAGACCCGCTCCCATAGACAGACGCTGTGTGTCACCCAGAGTCAGCGCCCAGAACCACCAGGCCCCTCCCACCTAGGGCCCCGAGGCAGGAGCCCCCACCCCGAGCACGCGGGGAGCAGAGGTGAGGCACGGGGAGCACGGAGGAGGTGGGCCCGGACAGAAACCCCCCGCACGTGGTGCTCACCCCGTTCCCAGTAGACCCTGATGGGAAAACGGAGGCAGGCCTTACCGGGGGGCCGGGGAGCCCAGGGTGCCCGTCCCGCCCAGGCACGCCGGGCAGGCCTGCAGGTCCTGGGGTGGCCGAGCTGTTCACCCCAAAACGGCCTGGCTGTCCGGGCAGGCCTGGGACGCCGGGGGGCCCAGGGGGGCCGGGGAAGCCTCTGGGGCCCTGGACAGGGAATAGCACAGAGCAGCTGAGCGGGCGTCACTGCAGAGGGATGGCCCTGCCCGCTCCAGCCCCGCCAGCCCCCAGAGCCACTGCGCGCCAGACCATGGGGCGGTGGCCACCGGGCCAAGGGACACTCACACGGAGGCTCTCCAGGTCACCGCCGAACCCAGACCCCTCCATGTCGATGAAGGTCTGCGGGAAGAGCCAGAACGCGTCGCCCGGGGCCCCGACCGGCCACGCGCCCCCTCCGCGGCGCTGTCCCCAGCAGGGCCCCAGGCCAGTGGCCTCCCACGGGCTCTCACCACACCCCGAGGCCCGCACACCTCCCCGCCGGTTCCAGACTTGCGGGGCGAGGCCTTAGGAAGCTGGGCAGGGGACGGAGGGTGCCCCCTGTAGGACAGGGGGCCGACCCCATGGCGGGAGAGGTCGCAGGATAAACTCACCAGCTTGTCCTGCCTGAAGGAGGGGCCTGGTGGCCCTGGAGGCCCTTGGGGTCCTGGGGGTCCTCTCGGCCCAACCCTGGGATCGCCCTGGGGACAGAAGATGCTCATCACACCAGAAAGCATGGCCCATGGCCAGGGGTGGGGGGACCCTGGAACATGCCCGCCCAGGCCCAGCCCGGTCCCACACTCACCTTCTCGCCCTTGGGGCCCACGTCTCCTGGGGTTCCCGGGAAGCCCTGCGGCCCAGTGTCACCCTAGAAGACAGAGGCAGGGAGCCAGTCAGGGAGACGGCACCTCTGTGCCACCACTGTCCAAGACCCCAGGCAGGTGGCTTTGGGCCCCAAATGTCCGCTCGGCCAGGAATGTCACGGAGCAGACAGAGCCGGGCTTGAGCTGGGACCGGAGGTGGGCACCTGTGACCTCAGGGGCCCCCGAGGCTGCACATGACCCTGTCGCACAGGCAGCACCTGCGTGGAGCCGGCGGTGGCGTCCCGTGGGCGTCCACGCCACAGAGCGGGGCTCTGCCTGTTACGTGCACGCGTACGTGTGCGTGGGTGTGCATGCGGGTGACAGGCCCTTGTGGCCTAAGTGACCGTCAACGTTTGAATGTCTGCGTGCACTTGGAGTGGAGTGTGCGGGGCGTGTGGGCGTGGAAATGGGAACGCACCCTGCTACAGCGAGCCCGCTGCGGGTCACGGGGACCCCGGAGCACAGGCACACGCATGTGCACACGCGCACGCACACGGCCTGCTCTGCCAGCGCCTGACGCCTCAGGCTGCTCACGGCCCTCGCACAGCTCCTCGGTCGAGTCACAGAGCTTTGCTGCCGCTGCGACAAGCTGCCCGAGGGCCATGCGGGTCTCACCGTGAAACGTCCCTCGCTTGGAACGCGTTCTAACGTGACTCTTTCGTGTCCGGGCTGCGGTGCAACAGCCCCCCGCCCGCCACGCCCGCTGCTCTGCGCTTTCCCAAATCTCTCCTCGTGACCCTATGTGTTACTTTCTTGTGTCTTGGAAACAGCGTCTGTCGATTTTTAAACATCCAAACTAAGTGTTTTAAGACGGGCAGTCCCGCGAGTGGGCACTGACGCCCGCGAATGCGTCCCCGTGTCCCGTGCCGCCCCGGCCACGGCAGCCCTCACTTCCCGCTCACACCTTCTCCTCTGAGAACCGTCTTCCTCGCTGGCGGCCACCCCAAACGTCTCCTTACAGACGCCTGACCGGAGGGGTTTCCGTCAGCGGTCAGGCTGGCGTGGTTTTTTTCGTGGTTTTTTTTTTTTTTTTTTTTTTGCATTTTCTTAGCAAAAGTTAAGTTGCATTTTCAAAATGGCTTCATGTTAACATCTCTTCACTGTGTTGAGTGCAAAGTGTCGCCAGAGAAGAGTCCCGTGGGTCCCACACACGCGTCACACCCCGTCTGGCCCTCAGACGAGCGTGTACTTACGGGTCTTCCATCTTTGCCAGGGTCACCCTGCAACGTGCAAGAGAAACCGTCAGTGACAGCACCACGCACCCCTGTCCCCGACCTGACAGCGAAACGCGCCCCGGGCCGTCTTCCCTCTGCCTGCAGCCTCCCGACACCCCAGCTCTCCCACAGGAAAGGACGCATCATCTCGGGGTGCCCAGGGCCCCAGGGCCCAGCTGCTCTGCCACAGCGGCCGCACCCTCTACCCACCTGCTGAGCCCTGCCCCACGGGACCAAGGGGAGATGCACTCACCGGCTCACCGTCCCTTCCGGGGGCACCATCCTTCCCTGGTGGGCCTGGGGGTCCCTGCGGCCCAGGGACAAGTCGTGCATCGGGGCCCTGCACCACCGGGCCTGCAGGGTCCTGGGAGAAGAGGGTGCAGGCTAGGGGCCACACGCACGCCTGTCCGGATGCCCACCATTGTGCCCTCCGGCACCCCGGGCTGGGCTCAGCACCACACAGGGAAGCGGGGGGTGGGCGCACGCACGGGGTCTGCCCGGTCATCCCCTATCCCCGCCCACGCGCTGCTTTGCTCTGGCCAGAAGCCCCCCAGGCACGCCCACCTCGTGCCAGGCATGGGGGACAGAGAGCAGGAGCGTGAAGCCAGAGCTCCGTCAGGTGCCAGTGAGCGGACCCGAGGCACGGAGAGCTTCTGGGCCAAGGAGGGGCCTCACCTCTTCCAGGCTGTCCCCAGGGCTCCAGACGTTCCCGTCCCCCGTGACGACGGTATGTGAGCCCGGGAGGGTCTGGGCTGGGTGGGGGAGAGGGGGTCAGACCCCGGAGCGGTGGCCCAGGCTCTCGCCCGCCGCCCGGCTCAGTCCTGCCTGAGCCCAGCCGCCCCCGAGCACGCACTCACGCTCAGCACGCACACGTGGCAACCTCTCAGCTGTGCCACCCGAGCCCCCCGCATTGATCACAACCCTTCCCGCCGAACAGCACGTGTCTCGTGAGAGTGAGAGTGTTTTCTAACTTCCGACGGTCACGTTCGGGGAACTCAGCACTGACAGCCCGGATTCAAGTTCCCCCGCGGGCTGCGGCCCAGTGACGTCCTTCGTAGCTTCCGCTGGGGCGATGGCGATGGTGGAGGAACCGGGACCCCACTGAGGGTCCTACCTGTGGGCCAACCCCGGGCAAAGCAGCCCCCGCCTGAGCCGGGACGGCGCCATGAGCCCCGAGGCCGTGCGCTCCCGTCCGGCCCCGCCCCCCTCTCCCCCGCCCCTCCTTCGCGTGCCCATGTCCCCACCAGGTGCGGAGCTGGCACCTTCTCCTCTGATGAATGGTTTGTGGGGACTTCGAGGCTGTTTCCCGAATCCCTTCACCCAGCAGCATCAGTGCTGCTGAGCGCACAGGACCCAGGCTGTGCCGAGACGCCACGCGCCCCTGGGGCGGGCGCACGACACCCCATCTTCCACAGGAAGTTGCAGAGTGTCCGCCCTGCCCAGGGTCTGACCGCGCTCTGGGATAGGGCAGCGGCTGCTTGGGGACTGGACAGATGACCCCTGAGGGAGCCCACACTGTCCAGGGCTGCACTGTGTCACCCGGGGGCATGGGCCTGGGAGACGCCTACTTGGTTTCCAGCAGAACTCGGAGCCACATCCACGTGTGGCCAGTGTGGTCGCTCCACAGTGGGGGAGCTGGCCACCCCCCAACCAGCACCCTGCCCTTAGCTCAGAGCCCTGCCTCCCGGCCCCATCTGGGGCCCCAAGCAGTCCTGAACCCCTATGCCCCGGAAGGGCAGCCCAGCCCTGTGCCCTGGCTGGTGTGGGCTGGGAACCCCCCAGGCCAGATTCTAAGTATCAGCGTAATTTAAGGCAAACTTAAAATCCTTTCCTCCACAAATGTTTAAAACGGCAAAGGTGTCACCAAAAGGAGAGCCAGTGAGGACCCAAGTACAAGGGGAGGTGGCTTGTGGTCCCAGGTCGGGAGACTCCAATCCTAGAGGCCCACGCCCCTCCTCCAACCCTGATCCACGGATTCAGCAACGACCCAGCCACACCGACAGACTGACTCATAACTCGGTAAGAAACGCAAAGGGCACAGCAAGGCAACTCTGAGGGACGCCCACACCTGCGGGACGCCCACACCTGCTCTCAGGACCCGGCACGAGGCCCAGACAGGCCGCCCAGACGGAGAGCCGACTCTCGCCAAGGGAAGAAGCACGGCTCGTGCGCGAGCAGAAGCAGAGGGGCCGGGGGGTTCGCCCTCTGCACCCGGACAGCGGGGAGGGGCGGGGCTGCGCAGCCCAGGTGGGGTGTGCACTCAGGACGGAGGCCTGGACACCCCCCC